TGCAAGTTCAGACTTTACCATTTGCTGATTGAGATCTTTTATCATATCAGGAGCAATACAAGTGGACACATGTTATTTCTATTCACAAAAGTCTGAGAATTAGAATTCTGCATTTTGTTTTCTAGCTCTAGGTGACTTCTTCAATGGAGGTAGCATGCGTTTTTTTTCCTTCTCTGTGTGGTCCCGATTATTTAGTTTAGATTGAGTGGAATCAGATGGTGCATCTAAAATATTAGAGAAATTAATTGAGTGAATATAGTTTTTGATAAAATATAGTAAGATATATAACTATATCATTAATGTTAAAAAAGATTTATTATTAATAGGGCTTGTAACAAATATGGGTAATGTTTTACCTTTGCGCTGTGCAACCAATTTATTGATAAAATCTGCAAAGCCCTCTATATTTGAAAAACTCTGATGCAAAGTCTTTTCAGCCCATGGTTGAATAATCGACCACACATCATTTTGATTTGAAGTTGAGTCATCAGGCTATCGGGATTAAAATATTACATAAAATACTAGATATCTGTAGTAAAAATACTGTACTTCTTTAAATATATACATTAATATGAAGTGCATTAATTAGCATTGTCAAAGCAACAAATTTTCAATGCATAATGCAGTGCATAAATAACTTAATGAGCAACAATCTGATAAATACCTCAGCACTTAAGTCAGGAAGCATTGGAGGAGCTAAACTTCGAGCTTTTCTCATGGCTGCATAACAATATCTATAAAATACAGTATTAAATGTAATGATAATGTAATATAATCATATTTATGTTGAATTAGAAAACAAAAAAATATTAATACATATTATTACCTAGAATGGCCACGTGTTCCAAGTCTTCTAGGTCTCAGATTTGGAAATACTTGTTTCATGACTTTGCCAAAATCAGCCGTAGAAAGTGGTTTTAAATTAGCTGTTGTACAGTAGGCTCTGCAATAATATATCAACATTAAATTGTACATTAGTAATATGACAAAAAAAACTATGAATAGTTCAAAACAAGGGTACACTTTAATGGCATTGCTAAAGTTTTTATATTAACCATCACAATATTTATATAGCATTATACTTATGATTGCAAGTTATTAATACCTTTATTATTTATTAGCAAACAATTATGCAATAGATATATTAATTATAATTACTATTGCAAACTTAAATAGTATAAGCACACATTTATAATATGAATAATCGAATACTTACAGATATTCATCATAAACATCTTGTTTTGGCACAGAGACCTCAGGATCATGTTCTAAATGTGTTCGAACCCATGCGGCAGTAGTGCTTATTTCATGCCTTGTCCCAAGGGGATTCGGAGGATGTCTTAAAGGATCCTGTGTTGATGGCTGACCACCGGGAAGTTTCAGGTACAATAGTAATCGCTCTGGACCAGATAAATGTGATATCTGTTCCAAATATTAAGGATATTTTGCCGCGACTGATCACTGAAAAAGAAAAGATGATGAATTTTAGATTATGCTTTAGAACAAATTTGTGAGTGATATTGTAATGCACAGTAATACATATATGAAAGGACATCGGTAAGGAAAGAAATTAATTTTTAGGTATATATTAACTGAAATTTTATTCAGCCGTTTCAGACAAGAGTATATAATTTAGCAATATCTGTTTTTATGTATATAAAATGTTATTATGAATTACACAGATTACAATTTAAGATAATAATTGATAGGACCTTGCTACAAAACTATAACAAGCAAATTTAATTTTGTACAAAATTCTAGTTGTAGCGAGTAATGAAGCAGTAAATCTGGTGAAATTCTTTTTAACACAATAATATAATATTTTTTTTTACAAAAATTGTGTATGGTGCATCTCTAAGTAAACTAATAAAGTATATTGCCATCTAACCTTAATGTATTATCGACCAACTGTTGTATTTTGTCCATTTTCTCCCGTTTAATTTCACAAGCAGCCCCAGCTGCTCCTAAATATTCTTTACATCTTCCATGAGATTGTTTATTTAAAACACATACTTCCTTTTCGTCAAAATACTTTGCTTCTTACGAATTGCCCATGTTCAACAAAGTGCTGTCTTTTTGACAGCTATCAACTCCAATAATATACTTTATATACAATGTCATATTATTCGAAAAACTCATCCGCGAACCTTATAGACGTATGTTTCACATATTAAAAATACCACATTGTGAAAAATAGTCAATTTACCAATCATGACTCTATGCAACATAAATGTACAGAATAAATAACATCACATATCTTAACAATGGTCAGATAAACCATCCATTTTCTTGACGTTCGATCAGCTGTTGTAATTAGTGGTGCCAGATTCTAATAAGATTCCCATCAGGCGTGCATTTTATTCAGCATCAAAATGATAATAGTACTTGATTTAATTAGTTTTATAGCATTCTAAATTATTAATATCTTTCTACAATAGTAAAATATGATATCTTCTTATTAAATGTGACTTTCAAAATTATATAACTGCTCGAAACCGCTCAGAATCCTTGTAAAGTTTACATAGACTAAAAATCATACAAAATTTTTGGAGTTTTAGTGCTGAAACATCGAATAAAAAGGAATTTACAACGACCAGAAATGTATTCAACTGGTTTATTTCTTGATTAAATTTTATATTACTAAATTATATAGTAGTTCATGCAACCCTTTAGGCGGCCATTATTCTATGCAATTTGTTCAAAAATTAAAAAAAAAAATATTTTTCAAAACCACAAAAAATGTTCGTGATCATACTGCTATGTTATTATTTTGATTACATTTAGAAATACACAATTTATAATATTTAAAAATCTTTATATCCAAAATTTGGAAATTATTTTTCAAATATTTAAGTTGGTCACCATTGTTCAATGCAAATTTTTCGGAAAACGTCATCGTGATGCAATTTGCCCAAAATTCTTAAAAAATATCATTGAAAAAAACAAACAAGAAATGTTTGTGATCATACTGCTATGTTATTATTTTAATTATATTTAGAAATACACAATTTCTAATATTTAAAAATCTTTATATCCAAAATATGGAAATTATTTTTCAAATATTAAGTTGGTCACCATTGTTCAAGGTATATTTTACGGAAAACGTCATCTTAATGCAATTTGTCCGAAATTCTTAAAAAATATCTTTCAAAATCACAAGAAATGTTATGGTGATTATACTTCTATATTACTATTTCAAATATATTGTATATCTATACTATTTAAATCTTTATATCCAAAATTTGGAAATTATTTTTCAAATACTATGTTGGTCACCATTGTTCAATGCATATTTTTTGGAAAACGCCAATATATATATATATATATATATATATATATATATTATCAAAACAAAACACAAGGAATGTTTGTGATTTGATTGCTTTATTACTATTTCAAATACATTTAGAAATACATTATTTATAACACTGAAAAATCTTTCTTTCAAAAATTTGGAAATTATTTTTCAAATATTAAGTTGGTCAGCATTGTTCAATGCATATTTTTTGGAAAACGTCATCGTTATGCAATTTGTCCAAAATTCTTAAAAAATATCTTTCAAAACTACAAAGAATGTTTGTGATTTTATTGCTATGTTACTATTTCAAATATATTTAGAAAAACAATATTTATAATATTTAAGAATTTCTCATTCAAAAATTTGAAAATTATTTTTCAAATGTGAAGTTGGCTACCATTGTGCAATATAATTTTTTGTTAAACGTCAAAGGATATTCGAAAATTCAGAAATAAGTGCAGTGATTGTTTATTATTATAAATATGTAAATAGAACTAATTTGAAACTCTACATTTATGGCACAAAAATTGCAGAAATAACCACAATTTGGTATAAACTGTTTTTCTTCAACTTCAACTGTTTTCCATGGAGTTTACTCCTACTAAATTTATTACGTAAGTATCAATCAAGTAAAAAGATCTCCATTTTTCTTTTGCATTGTTTACATCTAATTTTAGTTTTTGCCATAACAATTTAGATCAATTTTGTACTGTATGTAACTTACCAAAAATATCTTTCAAGATTCAGACGTTTTTTTCCACTATAAAATGTTAATATAAAATAAAATCCATATCAATTGATATTGTAATACGCAGCCAAATACGCATAATTATTTGTTTGCGGTATTGGTTTGGCATAGGTTAAATACAGGTCAAGGATATTTTCGACTATCTTTCTCAATGAAGATTCTTATATTAAGAGCAATGTGTTTTTTTATCAACAAATTTTATGCACATAAACAGAAGCGAGCACCAATTAATTTTTATATTGAATCCATAAAATGTATACAGAAGTAATCATAAAAATGACCATAGAGAAGGAAACTATGATAGTAATGGTAATAATAAAATATATTCAATATTAGGTATAGAAAACAAAATAGAGGAATATACTTAATTTTCTATTCCTTGGAATAGGTATTGCATTATATAGAAAAAGCTACCCCGAAATGAGCACCCTCCCCATCCTCAACATATTTACTTTATAAACTGATAGTAATTATTACTTTAAATAAAATATAACAAAATTATGAATTAACAAAGCATATATATATACATATATATATATTTAACAAAGTCTAACAATAGGGCATTACCATATCCTGATACCATAGATTATTGAATTTTCTGTTTTAACACTAATATTCACAGATTGTAAGTACTTTCTACTTGTTATAATTTTTTTAATTCATTTGTTTTAATTTTAAAATTATTTTTAGTTTCCACTGAATTAAAGCTAGGATTATAGACGAAACGTATGGATGAAAAATAAATTCTTAAAAAAAGTTGATGTTTTTTAATTGATGCTCTGCCCAATTTTTAGACTTTGTTAATACCTATGTCAACTCCAAATTCAGAATCATACAAAATATATATTTATATATTTATATATAATTATATTTAATATGATATAAAGTGTTTATTACTTCTTTATCTCTATTTCCATAGCATTTGATAACAAGATGAGCGTGATAAGAAAATTAAATAGATAATAAAATAATCCGCAAATGAAAGATAAACTATTAAAAACAATACCTACTAATAACAATCAGCATCAGGCAGAAATAACAAATAACTCGTCAAAATAAAATCAAATTAATATTCAAATTAATTATCAAAATAAAATGCTGTTTTATTAAATTGTTGAGATCCGTATAGATTATTCAGTCTATTAGAAAATCAGTCACAATAAAGAAAAAAAAACATTTTTTTTTTGTTATTGTAATGTTGTAATCGACAAGATTTGTATTTGCCATACTTTAAATTGGCGTTTGATTAAATTGCTGAGATCCACATAGATTATTCAGTCTATTAGGAAATCAGTCACAATAAAAGAAAAATTTCTGATTTTCATTATTGTAATGCAATCGACAAGATTTGTATTTACCTATTGGCGTTTTATTAAATTGCTGAGGTCCACATAGATTATTCAGCTTATTAGGAAATCAGTCACAATAAAGACAAAATTCCTTAAAATCGACCAGATTTGTATGCATCTTATATTACATTACCGTTTCTAATAAATTGCTGAGGTCCACTTAGATTATTCAGTCTATTAGGAAATCAGTCACAGTAAAGGTAAAATTTCTGATTTTCATTATTGTGATGTACTCTACAAAATTCCTCAAAAACGACAAAATTTGTATGCAACTTATATAAAAATGCTGTTTTATTAAATTGCTGGGATCCACATAGATTATTTAGCTTATTAGGAAATCAGTCACAGTAAAGGTAAAATTACCCATTTTCATTATTATGGTGTAATCTACAAAATTTGTATTCACCTTAAATTAAAATACTGAGATCCACACAGATTATTTAGCCTATTAGGAAATCATTCACAATGAAGGTAAAATTGTTATTCACCTTATATTTGAAACTAGCGAATCAATTTAAAATTTTACTGATGAATTTTGTGATTTTGTCCATATGTCGAAAACTTATTTATATAGTTTTCATTCAAAAATAAAGATAGGCACAAAAAAATGTAAAATATTTTATACTGCATTGCAATTTATGGTATAATACATTTCACTTCATTCTCACAATATTTATTGGAAAAAATTCAAAATATGTATTCAACAAAATCTTCAAGCAATTTTATTAATTTGTAGTAATTCTGATTTGATTCCCAAAGTTTTAAATATAGGAAAATGAATAAAATATGATACAATTGTTCAATATTTAGAATTTTGTGAAGATTCAATAAAAAATGGCCTAATGATTTAACATGAACGAGCCTAAAAATCGATAATGGTTTCTTATTGTAGAAACTCTACCAAAGCCATGAAAAATCAGCTCATTATTTTATAAGGTAATGAATAATGGAAACCACAATGAAAAAAGCGATTTTATCAAAGAAATCTGTGATAACGCACATTTAATTTTTTTTGTTTTGTTCTGATTTATAACTTCCTTGTGTAATACTAAATTAGTCAACTAATTTCATATTTTCATATTCTAGTATCTATTTGATAAATTTAAAGAATTTAAATACTGCTTTATTTTACTCAGGATTCATCTATACTATTTATACGAGTAATATATAAAAATTATAAGTTAATAATTGACAAAATAAATCGATATATATCCCAAGAAATAAAATGCTTTATTTAGTGTTTATTTTTATATTTGGATCGAATCATTATTACCACACTGATAAAATATTTATTAAATAAGTAAACAAATTAATTATATGTAACACAAAAATCTGTTATTCAAAAAACTGAATGAGATTTGATTGCGTTCTTTTAGTCGAAGTAATTCTGCATATGTATTAGAATGTTTTTAAAAATGTGTCTGATCGCCTAATACTGTAGAGACCATCTTTCGCCGTTGTTCGGCCTTGTGTTTTTTATTAGCATAATTTAAATTTTGTTCAAACTGTAAATATTCTTTTGTCCGATTATTTAAATTCACAAAGTAGACAGAAAATTTACTTCCTCTAAAATGTTATTGCAGATAGAGAAGAAGGTCTTGTGAAATATTTAAGAGAAATACAACAAATTATAGTTGTTTATAATATATATTTTGTATGCTTAAAATTACCAAATTTTAAAATGGTCCACTTAACCGTCTTTATTCTGTGGACAGACAATGAATTTGCTGAAACAATGCACAGTGGTTGCACAACATTGTCAAAATTTAATGTTTTATGTAATAATTGTACAATATAAAATTATTTATACAATCAAATGCGTTCAAGTTGATTTTAAATGCAAGTAAAATTTAGGATTTAACTATTTATTATTTATTAATTAATTAAATTAATGATGCTGTTTCGGATTGCTCTAGCGCGACAGCGTGGCGGTACACGCCGTTCCCAAGTACCAGGCGAGCAGGCCGATTCATGGGTTATGAACTCTCTAATATTTGTACGCGTTTTCTCTAAAAATATACGAAAATGCGTCTGATACCTTGTTCGATGCTGTTGGTCAAGAAATGTCATCGTCATATCTCTCTGACAGCAATGACAAATAATATCTTTCTCCGGAGTAGAGATGGGCAACCTGTGCCAGTCGTGGGAAAAAGAATAATACATAACACCTAACTATGCATCATGAAAGAACCTTTTGAGCAATTGATACATGAAAAATAACAAAAATATTTTAATAATGCGCGAATTTATTTTCATAAATCCAAATTCCATTAGTCCAAATATATAACAAAACCTGTCATAATTATCAATAATTGGAAAAAATAATTTTGGTTGTCGATCGCTGCTCTTAAACGCATGTCATATATTATGTGAAATAGCGTATGATTTAAATAGAGTTTAAATAAAGAATACATTACTCATATAATTATATCAAGACATTATCACACAAAAATACGCATAAGCAAATAGTTATTGTGTTCGATTGAAATAGCAAACTGAAGTAAGACAGAAATATGGCACTGGAGATTGCGCTGAGATTTAAAAATAATTTAAAATGGAATATCATTTTTATTTTAGAAATACAAATAAAATTATTATATTTAGAAATAATAATAATTAATAAACAAAATAAAATATTTGTTCACGCCAAATCAAAACAGTCCATAATATGATATGAAAACAAAAGAAAAAAATTGAAAATATTGTAAATACAAATTCAATTTGTAGTTATATTAAAAATAAACATATAATTAATATTACAATTACAGTGTTTTACAACAAATCATTTGTCTTTCAAAAAATCAAATCATATAAACAATATTATTTGGATTATAAGCTATTTTAAGCGATAATTAACTTTTTTGGAAATTGTGTTGAACTTTGTCCTTTGGATCCAAAATCTCCATGAGACAATTGCAAAATAATGAATAACTTCTATACTTTCCAAACAGTAATTTTAGTTTGAATTTTGGTTTCCAAAAGTTCTGAGAATAGAGTTCGAATATTGCAATATGGATAATGATCAATGAGCGTTATAATTGACCATAGTTCATATAAGAAATCCATTTACGATGTAATGGATCCTTTGTTAACTAAAACGTATCCGATATCATTACTTCGATATACATATTTACTATTTTCGAACAAAAAAAGTAAAAGCTCTGGAAGATAATGGCACATAATGGATCTTTTATTCTTCACCACCACTATCGTATAATAATCAAATTATTATACTGAAAGGCAAAGATTTATATATCATAAATATGTAAAAATTAAACAGTGGGCAATTCAAACTCACAATGTTTTTTGCAGCTATTCGTAATAGAATTCATTATTATTTTTTGTGTAGTACAATACATGGTTTGAAATTTTTGGCTCAACCGAAGGGATCTCTATTTGAATGGTGAGTAATATGCTAGGAAAATCACAAACACACACACCTATATATATATATATATATATATATATATATATATATTTATTATATGTAATATAATAAAATATAAAATAAAACATAATACTACAAGGCAAAATGATATAACAAGGGATACATCTAGTTAATAGAAATCAAAATTATTAATATTATACTTGAAATATTTTAATAGGTCTTTCATAGGCTTCGAGGCCTAGTTTGGCTATTCTTAAGTAAACAAAAGTAAAATTTCTTGATAAGAAATTGTATACAAATAGAATTAAGTAGAATTTAAAAATAGTTAATTGAAAATAAAATATAATTAGAATCGTTGAATTGAATTTGAATGAAATTAGAAACAAGAAGAAAGCAAGAAAAGATTAGAATTGGAGAAGGTCAGAATTAAGTTGAGTTGAATTTGAACAAAAAATTAGAAGTAAGAAAAAAAACAAGATTAGATTTCAAGTAAGAAAAAAAACAAGATTAGATTTCAAGATCATATTTAGAAGAAAGCAAAAAGAAGAATGGAGACATTAGTTAGAAGAACATTAAGACAGAATAATATATTAATAAAAAAGATAGTATATAGAATATATATGCAAGATAGTGTAGAATATATAAAGATGATATAGGATAGGATATAAAGAAAAAATGAAAAATAAAGGAAGATATAACAACAAAATGTAATTATATTATAATTTCAACTAAGATATTTTTTTGTATGTCGGTATAAATTTTTTTAATATATCTTGCCTTATGTACTATATCATGTTTTTACGAGTATTTAGAAAAAAAAATTATATTATGTTTCATATTATATTTGTAGCCGATACACGTATTGCACATTTATCATAATTTTTAATCATAATTTAGTTGTTCTGTCTAATATGGATTGAACAAACTTTTTTGCTTTTAATTGCATAGACTTATTAAAAAAAAATAAAGATGATTCTGTTGTCGATCTAATAACTCGATACAAATCTGTTAAAATATTTTTATATTTTAATTATATATATTTTACCATCTGATATTAGAGCAATTTTACTATGCCCAAAGTTTTTATATAATTATTTATTGCAGTATAAATTACAACACAACCTCATTTATAAAAAAATATTACATCTAAAAAAATATTTAGTAAAGGGTATGGGCGTGTTTCCATACAGAATTGGCCCTACCTTGGCATTTGAATAGTTTTCCGTAGCTCATTATTTGGCCGAGATATCATTGAAAATGTGCGAAAGTAGCCCATTTTTCAAAGTCGTTTTTTGTCGCAACTGTAAAAGATATCGGCAAAAAAATAACATCATTCTATTCACATCGGTGTGTACCATAGTATTAATAACAAATATTGTTTAATAATTATTTTTTAGTGCATGAAAAAGTGAAAATAATTGTTGGTTTTGAATTTTCGGTTGTTTGTAAAAACGACTTTTAAAACAGGGGCCACTTTCACACATTTTCAATGATATCTCGGCCAAATGATGAGGATTTGAAATTTGGTATATCGGATTTTCTCGAAAATACCTATAAAATGGCATCAAAATTATTTAAATACCAGAGTGGGGCCAATTCTATATAGAAACACGTCCATTTGAACTGAACATATTCTAATTTGCATATATTTTTAAGCTTGTAATGTCCAGTAATCGTTTATAAATAATATCGCAAATGTGTTTCGATGATTTCAGGTGGTTATGGGTAGCAATTTGCGCAATTTCGCTAAGCGGTTTGTGCTTAGTTTTCTCGGCGAGCATCGTGTCGTTCACCCAGAATGCTGTGAGCTTTACCGGGGACACAAATTACATAGATTGGAACACGACGTTCCCCGCGGTCACGGTGTGCGAAGTCGTCAGCAGCGAAAAGCAATGGGATATTAACGAAGAGTCAGTAAATTCATCATAGTAGATTAATTTAATGGGTTATATTTATTTTCAGATTTTTTTTTATTTTTGTGTTATTAACGGATAAGTATTTAATTGCAAAGAATTAGGAGTCGTTTCTGCCGTGAAATAGACCAATGTTATGGCAAGCCTGTAAGCGCCCGGCGCAATGTTTATTAAAAAAGTAAATTAAAAAATCACTGCACACGGACACTTTACTACCTCGAAGGACCAGATATACTTTATCATTAGAATGGCTATATCAGACTTTTAAAAATAAGTAAGTTAAATGAGTTAGTTTAGTTATTATTAGTATTTATTTGTTTGATGTTCACGGTTCAAGTTATGCGTACAGAATTAGGATGAATTTCTTAAAAACTATCTTAGTACCTAGAGTAGGGTAGGAAATTATTTTATTATAGAGTAGAGAGAATTTAGTATATAGGTAGAGGGAGATGGATTAATAAAATTTGTGAGGCTCGAACAAAGTCTATATTATGTTATTGTTTCTATAAAAACTTCTACTATTACTAAATACTGTCAAAATGGCATGTACTATAGAACTTTGTTTATCCGGACCTCAGTTATACGGGCTACCGTATATGTATGTACATACCTACAATTCGAATATTTGCATTATTGCTGCAGTTTAGTATTTGCATGTAAGGTAATCTAAGAAACTATGTATGTACATGCATAAGGAAGTGTTAATTACTTAATAAACATTGATTGTGTTGATATGTTTGTTTTTGTTATTTTTAATAAACACACAACATCATTCTTTATACATTAGATTATCCGGATTTTTGATTATCCGACAACAATTAGTTCGGTTAATTGAGTTTCTACTGTATTTGATATGCAATCAGGCTTTTCACACATAAAATGCAACTTCATTCGTATGTTATCAAACCATATATCAAAGATCCAGTTATGATAACATCGATGTTTTGACAATTATGCGTTTTCTATGTTAGGTTTTCTATCTAAAACGCTTGACTGCACATCAACTATATAAACTTTTGACAGTTTTTAGTACCACTTTATATGAAAACTGCTACATGACATAGCCTTCCCATAACATTGGTCTATTTTACAACATAATCAGTTCTTTAGATACGTTTTGGATTATTTTTTATAATAAATTAATCACATTATTGTTTACTTCCTTATACCACCACACCTTTTATCGCAATTCCAACACAACTTTGTGTTAAAATAATATAACTGTTAATGAGACACATTTAAATATTTTTATTCTTCATAAATGGTTTAACTGGTTTCAAAATGTTCATTCCATGAAGAAATAGGTACAGATAAATCGAAACTTTAGAAGAAAAAAAAATTAGTATTTCATAAGCGACATCATGAAATTCAGTATTTCAAGATGTTTTATTTTTATGTCAATTAAGTATATTGAAAAAAATATAAGATTCTTCCTAAATACAAGGAGTAATTAATTCATGCCATTATATTTTTATAAATGTATTTTACATATTTTTATAAATATTTATTAATGGTTCCCAAATAAATTGCCGTTTTATATTAAATTCCTGTCACTTCAATAAATTTTCATATAATTCTTAGAAGGAATAGGTACAGATAATTCCTAACGTTGGAAGAGAAAAAAAACTAAAAAAAAAATAGTATTTGTTAAGTGACACCTTGAAATTGAGTATTTCAAGATGTTCAATTCATTTTTATATCAATTAGGTATATTGAAAAAATAAAAGATTCTGCCCAAATATAAGGAGATATTATTCATGTATTTTTATAAATATTACGCACATTTTTAAGCGTTCACAAATAATTCCATGACCTTGTATATTATATGTAACATGCATATACAGACTGATTATAAAAATCAATGTTTTAACTGTTTTATCGAAGTTCAAACTAATTATAGCTGTTTTTATTTATTATTTGTATATTGTTATGCTTTTCTGATTTATTTTTATATTATCTCTACCTCTTAATATTCATTCAAGCCTCACAATCAATTCTGAATTAATGATTAGTTATCAATTTTTCCTGAATTGTTTTCATCACGATTAATGCAATTATTGATATAAATAAAATTTTAAATATTTTCTCAATTTAACGTATTTGATAAATTACAGTAAGAAGTTTAATAGTAGTAAACAGTTAATGAATATTTTTATGACTTGATAAGATATTTTATGATGAAACATTTTGTGATGTAATAATACAAAATTTTGCAAATAATGTGATGTAACAATATAAAATTTTGCAAATATTCTGTAAAAAAAAATTATTCACGGAATTTTTATTTATATTTAAAATTATATTCTTGAATACTTTATTCTTGAGCAACTTTTAAATTTATGTAGAATGAATGTTTCATAAGTAACAATACTGTAACTCAATATTAGTTGATTGACGTTTTTTGCATGACTAATTTATAGTCGATATTTCCATGCTAAAAAAATAAATTATATTCGCCTGAGCTAACTGTTTGCATTACAACGGTGTAATTATTATTTCATTAGTCAGATTTGAATTATTATATTAATATATCACTTTCCAATAATTAATATAAGGAACTTGAAGTATCCACGCTAAAGTAATTTAAAAAAATCTGCCATCTTATATCACAAAATAAAAAACCGTTCATGGAACTTTCAGTAAATAAATTTTACTTTGAAAAATTAGTATGTGTGTATTGAATATGGTGAAATCTGTTATCAATAAAACAATAAAAATAAATGTATTTATTATTTTCAGAGTCTATGGATCTGACAGAAACTCTTTGCTGGACGAATATTTTGCTGATATATCATTTTTTACCGGGAGTTGTTACAGTTGTCAAACTTCTTGTAAGGATATTGCTTGCCCAACTAATTTTAGCGACATAACGAATTTGGTAATATAATCATAAAATATTCACACCAACGTTTAATAACATTCAATGTTGATATTTAAAAAAATAGTTTTCAACTTTGTTTCATTTATTTTAGTACCGAGCGACCTGCAATAAAATGCTGCAAGATTGTTCATTCAATGGAAAGAAATTCGATTGTTGTGATAGATTTCTTCCCGTGGAAACAGAATTCGGTATATGTTATTCTATGAACTCTTTGCATACTAGGTAATCATAAAAACATCAAACTCAATTTTAAAAAAAAGTTACATTTGATTAAAAATATTTTTTTAGCGATAAGGGCGCTCTAATTTTGAGAAACAATCGATCCACCGGACCAGGTAATTTAGACATTACAATTAAAGAAGATGTGAAGGTAATAATTAAAATTGTGGTAAGTTATCTCTTTGCATTAATTATTAGTTGACTTCGACAGATTTATTTGCATCCACCAGAAGATGTTGTCCAACAAAATAGTGAACCAGAAATTAAAGATTTGCTATTATGGGGATCAAAATTGTTCATACTATTTAAGGTAAAAAATTATTACCTATATACAAAAATAATGTATAGTTTTATATTGAATAAAATTATATTTTGACAGGTAATATAATTTAGTATCATTTTCAGGTAAATTACATCTGCAAAAAAAGTTGCCTCTTCTACTTCATTAAATTATTTCTCATAATTATATTCATTTTTGCTCTTAGATCTTTACAACTTTATAGACCTTGACGCTCTTAGACTATCTAATATTTTAACATATATATTTAAATTACATATATTCTAGTGGATTTACCTCATTAATTCCTTATGTCCATCTTAATAGGTGACTGAAATTTTAAATGATCATGGACTAGAAAAATTGGCAGTGTCTGATCGTCATTGTCGTTTTCCACACGAAGTTCCTGAAAACATGAAAGCATATGATTTTTATAGTCATTCAACTTGCATAGTACAATGTAAAATTGATGGTCATTTAGATATTTGTAATTGTACTCACCATTTGATGCCAAAAACATGTAAGATCTTAAGATAACCTAAATTTTTTAATATTTGAAAACATGTACAACTATCACTTGATATAATAAATAAAATTTATTATATTTAAAATAATATACTAAGTGTAATTCAGAATTCAGTATTGATTTATTATAGTTCATTTTTAAGTAAAGTTTCTTATTTTGTTTAGTATCATAAATTTTACCAAATTTTAAATTTCAGATGCTGATCGGTATTGCGATTTGGACGGGTTGATTTGCTTATCCGAGAATGAAGGTAACGATGTCGGGTTTATTTTAGTATTTTCACGCATTTTGTGAAAAACATTTATTTTTACAGCATTGTTCAGACACATAAAAACCGAAGATACCAATAAACCGGGTCTCAAATGTGATTGCTTGCCATCCTGTGAGGAACCGGAATACACTTGGGTGCATAGCCAGTCGAGGTAACATATGAAGGAAAACGATTCCTTCGGGAATATTGCGTTTTTATTTTATAAGGCAAATCATTTGAAATGAAAAACTTTTTTTTAAAAAAAAGTGAAGTTCAAGCACTCGTAAAGGACATTTAATACATTAGTATTTGCAACAGTACATACGCTGGTACTGAAGCCTAATTATATTATTTTATTTTGGAAAAGTGAAAAAGTCGATATAAAATTTTATACATAATTATTCAACCAAAAAATGACATAGTTTTCAGACAAGGAATTGAAAAAAAGTTCCATGGTCTGATGATGATGTTTTCGTTAATAGATAATTCTAAACTTTATTTTTGAGCACCAAAATAAATCTGAATTTAGCTGATAGGCATTCAATTTAATATTTAATATTTTAACTTAATATAAAAATGTTCAATATGTTAAAAAAGATTAGACAGTAAAGATATTTAAAAAAGAAATCAATCTGAACGGTTCAATAAAGTTCAAATTTGGATTACACCGTATATTATTGTTTTGTGATTTTATTGCATTATTTTTGAAGTAAAACTTCTTTAGGCGCAACTAGGGTGTAAATCCGTACAAATGCAACGGAAGTGCCTTACGGCAGATGAGATAAGATAAGAGTCGAGTGCCAAAGATTCGTCATTTGCTGTCGATGATATTTCTATACGGGTCGATTGGGATTAGTCGTCGCGTATGTGAATAGAGATCTGTCGTCGTATGCGTACCGATATCAACAAGGAAATCGGCATAGAAAATAAACATTTTAAAGTTACATCGTAGTACAAATCTTGATTTAATGAAAAATGCCTGAATCAGAAGAATATTTTACCCTGTCTCCGGTAAATAAATGTAATGAAAATTATGAAACAAATACAGCTTTTGCGTCGTGTATGAAACATGTTTATCGAAATGATTACGAATATTAATTAGAAGTTATTAATTAGCTAATTACAAACCGATCATGTCATATTTGAAATATGACTTTAATTACATTTTTTTTTTAAATTTGACGGTTGACACTAATAAATATGTGCATCACGAGTGTTACCAAATTACTAATAAACATTATTCAAAATTGTTATATGATGTATTTATTTTTACTTAAATGCCACCTTGTACAGTAGCAAGTAAGTTTTACTTCACTCGCGTATAAACCTTAGGCGCACTCTTTTTCTGTTTATTTACTAAAATAATTATCAATTTCATTATTGCATTTTCACTAACTCTAATTCAAAATTACAAAAATAATACGTATTTTTATTATTATTATTTTTTATTACCGCCGCAGCGGTGACATCCGAGTGGAAAGAGTTAATACACGTCTTTGGATCAATGCACTCATATACATCATGTACACTTTTTATTCTAAATCATTTTGTTTAATAGAATTATTCTACTAGTAAATCTTAACCTGGGTTTCTTTTTCTTTAGTTTGATCGATGATGCTAATGGAACATATGTTACCTTGAGTATGCAATCTTTACCAACTCAAAAATATGTCAGAAAAGTAGCCAGAACATATATGGATTTAGTCGGTAAATAAATATACAAATACGTAAAATAGTAAATAAAAATCACTTTCATAATTAATTTATCTTTATCTCTTTACTTTTTCAGTTTCTTTAGGCAGTAGCATGGGGTTGTTCTTCGGCGCTTCTCTATTAAGTTTGGTTGAATTAGCCTATTTTTTATGTTGTAGAAGATGGCGACATATTTGCTCTTAAAATATCAATATACGCATAAATACTTTTGTGTTAAAATTTATAATTTACTTAGTTACACGCTCCGAGTTTGATCAATATCACAAACTAGTTCTAGTACGAAATGTAATCAGTATAAAAATTTATTGGAATAATTATTAGTAGTAAATAGCTGATAGACAATAAAATATACATTTATAATAAAAATATTTTTCTTAAAAATACTTATGGATAAATTATGGTTTGGATTATATACAAAACGAATCATTGGACTAACAGTGTTACAGAGTATCATGAACAAATGCGAATTTTTCTTATGCGAAATAAAATAATTTAATGCAATGGGAAATACTGAAAGTAATGTTACTAGCGGCGTTAAGAAACAAGCTGGAGTTTCGACCCAAAAGCTGTATAAGTTAGTTGATTTGAAAGGTAATTTAGAAATAATTTAAGTCAATATTATAAGTGAATTGAGAAAAAAAATAGTGTATTCCATAAAATACACCATTGATGGAAATTCAAAATTTTACGTTAATCATATTTACTAATTTCTGAGCAAGTCATCATGAATAGGGCACACGCCTCGAGCTTCAGAAACCTTGAACCACGATTTTGCTTATAATATGAATTTTGTGTAATTAAATTATTTTAACCTTTCTAAATTTTAATGATTTGAAGGATTATTATACTATTTTGATATTATATTTCGCATTTATATCATAATGCAATTGTCTACTGAGGACGAATCAAGGTATATGAAATTCATGATCTATTGATATTTATATTGATATTAATTTTCTTTAAATTAATTGATTCTATTTTTATTAACGGGATAGATATCTGTTAAAAATGCTTTTGTTTCAAATTATGTACAAATATATATATATATATATATATATATATATATATATATATATATTACCATCTAATAATTGTCACATATATTATATATATGTAAGTTTTACCTATATTTTCTTTCTAAATAAAGGTGGAGGCTTAATGGTTGATGTAATGAAAAGAGCTGTCCAGAGCAAACAATATGCAGAAATAGATCACGTCATTAAAACAAAAGTTGAGCCCTTTCTGTATAACAAAGGTGCTGGAAAATATATTCCAATTTCGCAAATTGTTCTTATGAGAAACATTGAAAGGCCGAAACATAAACAGGTACGAAGAGTATAATAAAATTATGATTTGAAAGGATTCTTTATATCAACAAATTCTAATCAAAACAATAATAAGTTCAGTAAGTTACTAATATGACCTCAATTCCACAATCTAATATCACATTTATCATATTGTTTAATGATGATAGAAATATAAATTATTAAAGATTTTTAAAAGTCAACCTCTGCAGTAATTAATTATGATATTTAACAAGAAGTATTCATAATTAATTTCCTCGCTTAATGAGATATTTTTCCAAGGTTATATTATTTTAGTTACCACAAATACGTGCTATGGAAAATCCAGAAGAAGAATTTGATGTAAATAAAAATTGTCCGGAAGTTTCCGAAGAAGAATATCAGGCCAACCCATCGTTGTACAAACATGTTTGCTGGGATTTAAATGTAATTTGAGCTTGAAATTATAATATTAATTTCTATTAATTTTTTCTAATATTTATTTTAAGAAAATTAACTCAAACTTATATCGATTAAATAAAAAAATATGTTGCTATTAGTTGTAGCAACTTATTTTTTCTGAAGCTAATAGTATTAGCTGCAAATTATAATTTATTACTAGAATAATAAAAAATAAAATTAACAAGTGATTGATAAAGAAAAATTCAAAATATCCTGTAAAAAACTGTTATTTTTTACAGGAACGAGGTGCTGTTGGAGAAACGATATTACATTTGTGTTTATTGAATGTATCGTCTCTTCTTGCTGACTTGGCCAAAAGACTACTTCGATTTTATCCCAAATTAATTAATGATGTTTATATGTCTGACGAATATTATGGTAAATGCAATCAATTACTATATTATAAATGTAGTGGTAATAGGAAATGTCCAGAGATTTCTTCTACCAATGTTGAAGTATTCAACCATAAAACAAGAAATTTTCTAAGTAATGTTATTTGCTCTTCTGGACTTATATTTATTAATTTTGTTTAAAAAAAATGGTTAGAATAATATAAATATTTCAGAATAATAGCTCTAATTGAAAAACGCTAAAAAGTTATGTATTCGTACTGGAACTGATATCAATCATTAAATCTTCATTTATAGTAAACTTAAGTACTTAAAAGATATTCTTCATTCTACTATATTTAATTCTTATGGCAAATTGCTGTAACTTCCCGTACCAAAAATTATTATTTTTTTTATAAACGATTAACATTTTTGAAAAAAGAAAATTACTTAGAAGAAATTTGATTTTTGAGAAACTATAAATTTGAAAAAAAATTTTTTTTTGGAAAAATGTTTTTTTTATTTTGACATATTTTAGAAATTCTGAACTTTTTTTCCAAGTAATCGTGCGCGTCGCCGTCTAACGGATAAATATTGGTACGGAACCCATCGGAATGTAAACAAAATTTATACTTATTGTTAAAATTTCTATTAAGTTAAAATATCTGATAATTTGATGTGCATATGTCTAATGATCATTTTTGACCACCAAATGCATGAAAATTTGATCAATTCTTCATCTTGTCAATACAAGTAAAATGTTTTTTAAATTACTAAAATCGGACGCTCCGTTCTCTTAAAAACTGATTTACCATTTTTGGCACTTTTTGCCTCGTATCTTTGGAACGGCTAGACCTGCCTTTGCCAAAAACTAATCAGCACGTCTCCTTAACAGTACGAATCGAATGTTTTTTTTAATTATTCAAATCAGTTGATCGGTGCTCCCGAAATCGCCTACGAAATTTTGTATCCGCACACACATACCACACGCACACACACACACACATACACACACATACAATCATTTTTTCTAAGGTATGCCAAAATATTCAGAAACCTTTGAAACGTAAAGATATAAACATTTTCATTTTCGATTTTTTTGCGATTACTATAACTTGCCCTATGCAAGTTAATAACAAGCTAACAGTAAATTACCTATGGATGACATAAAGTGATTTTAATTTTTTAGGTATTATTTGTATTATTATTTTAAAGAATATGCTCATATTCCTAATAATTAAATTATAAGCTTGTTAGCTGATTATATTTTTTGCTTACAATTTATTATATTTATATTTCTTTTGTTTTCAGTTAAGGTCTCTCAATGTTTCTCATTAGAACTATTTGCAAAATGTAGTATATTTTGACCACCTTTGTTGTACAATTTTACATGCTTTGTTTCAATCGATTATAATTTTAATTTGATCTACTTATTGTACAATATTTAATTATCATAACCTCATTATATAAATCATGTATCTATTAGGTATGTATTTATATCAAATTATGAATATATTTCAGGTGAAAGTGTTTTACACATAGCCATAGTAAACGAAGATCCGGCAATGGTTAAATTTTTGTTGGACGCAGGCGCCAATATTCACGAACGTTGCACCGGAACATTTATGTCTCCGGAAGACCAAAAAGCTTCGAGATACGATTCACCAGAAGTTGAACATGTTATTGTTCAAAAGTTCACCAATTATGAAGGGTTTGATAATAAATACATTATTAGTACAATATTGTAAAAAGTAATTAGTAGATTTTTGACTAATTTGGAGGAAGCAATGAAGTAATTTCAAGTATTGATAATAATAGATATAATTTTTACATATATAGTTACTATAAATGATAGGTATGGTAATAGAAACAAAATACTTCCTAAGGGGGCGTCCATTAATCACATGAGCGAGTTTTTAAGGATTTAAAAACTCGCCTCCCTCCCCCTTGGTGATACATGGTGATATTCAAAATTACCCCCCCCTCAACCCCCAAACATCACGTGTATTCTTAGTCGCTGTAAAACCTTTGAATTGTTTTTTCAAAAATCGGTTAAAAATAAATACACGTGATATCTTACTATACTCCTCCCTCCACCACTTGATATTTTGTGATTTTTTGTCAGACCTCCCCTCCTCCTGAAAACCTCATGTGATTAATGGACGCCCCCTCATGTGATAAAACTGTTAAATTTTTGATTTATTTTTGAAAATGTTTGATTTTTGTGAAAATGAATACACGTGATATCTTACTGCACCCTACCATCCCCCACATAATACTTCGTGATTTTTTGTCAAATCCCTCCTCCCCCCCTAAAAACCTCACGTGATTAATAGACGCCCCCTAAGCAGGGTTCTATCCAGATTATAGAAATAAAAAAAATGTTTCTAAAAAATATTTTTAATATATTTCCATGCGTTTCGAGTCTCAGTTTGATTCATCGTTAGTGGATAAATATACAAATTTTTGGAAACACAAAAAAAAACAATAAAAATTCAATAAAATTAATACTAAAATAACAAACATGTTAACATATTACCAAACAAAGTTATTGGAATGAAAAATGCATACAAAAGCAAAAAAACAATTAATTTGAAAAATTAAATTAAAATTAAATATATAAATGTCGTCCATTGTAAGCTCAAGTAAAAATACATTCATATGATAATTTTTTTAAGATAAATACTCTATTGTTTTCACTTTTTTTATTTGTGTCACACCTTCGCAGGGATGTATATATATATTCTTTATTCCTTCTTAAACTTTTTTAAAATTTTGATAAAGCATGAAAGGAACTTTACGTAAACAAACTATATAAATTTTACCACTTCACTAAATTTATTCTTTTTATTTTACAATTTAATTATTTTATTATCCTTTTCAGATATGTATATTGGGGAGAATATCCACTAAGTTTTGCAGGATGTTTAGGACAAGAAGAATGCTACAGGTTTAAAGTAAAAGTCTGAAAATTTCAAAACTTTGCAATATATTTTAAAATATTATATTTAAAAATTTAGGTTAATTTTGGCGCGCGGTGCAAATCCGGATAATCAAGACACCAACGGAACAACGGTTTACATATGTTGGTTATATATGAAAAATTGGT